TGCGGATCGAGGTCCGCGGAGGAGCGGAAAGGAAGAGAAAGAGTGAAAGAGAGACAGATTGAAAAAAAAGAGGAGGAAGAGGGAAACAGGTGCGTTACGCATCTCGCGACTTCCGGTACGGTAGACGAAGGTGCGGCGCGTAACGCGCGGCGGAGAACGGACCGAGCGTATCCGCTCGAGCGGCGCGTATTCCGGTCGCGGTCGGAGCGACCTAACCGCGCGATCGTTGCCCGAGTTTACTCCCGTTTTCTCGACACGGACGAGCGACGACGTCGACACGGCGCGGCGCGGGCGAGATCGCGCGCAGGGCGTGTGTATGCAACACGCTCTCGGCACGACGCCGCGCGGCGACCCAGGAACGCGACCCACGACGTAAAGCGACGGCGACGTAGAGCGAGGCACGCGGCTGCCGGTTGGCCGCGCCGACCTTGCGCGCGTTACTCCACTTTCGAAGGAGGCTAACCGCGGAGGCGAGCGTTGCACCGCGACGCGGTATACGCGCCTCGCCTCGCCTCGCCTCGTCTTGCCGCTTGACGCGCGCGCGTTTAGGCCGTACGTGAGCGCGCGAGCAGCACGTTCTAGCTAGCCCTCTCATGCGTGACACGAGCCGCGTCTCCGCGGACACTTCTGTTTTCACAGTGGAATGCAGGTGCATCGCGATGACTTATGTTACAGCGCGAGCGCGCGAGGAGTCGTTTGTCTTGGTGAGACTGACGTCTTTGTGATTTAAAGCTCGCCACGCGTCACTTAGCTTTTTCCACTTTTCGAATAATCTTTATCAGTCCAAAACATATGGTGATAAAATCTGTCGCTACGACGAGCAAGCTTGGCTCTCTCTCATTTGCGAAACCTCGCTGTGTTTACAGGTGTTACAGGTGGTTCTTGTTTGTTTAGCGGATTAAAATAGATTTCGAGGAATATGAAGCTACTAATGTATGGAAATGTTGTTTTAATCGTTTTCAAATGTTAACCCTGAAGCAATTTTGCTCCATGTACTCTCCCTTATAAAGTTCGAACCGAAAACACGTGGCTTATTTGTACATCTGTAAAGGGCCTTCTGTGACCCTTCTATCCCTTCTGAGTGAGGAGGCTCAGAAAATATTCATCAGAAAAAGTATTCAAAATGCTACGAAAAGTTGCGCATTTAAAGATTAAGATAAACGACTTTTAAATTTATACTTCTCAATCATCGAACGCGTAAAAATGTTAATTGCGAGAACGATGTGACTTGCTGCGTACTCCTTAAAAAAATGTATGCTCTCTCTCTCTCGTGGCGACACAGATAATATTGCGTGGATGCGTGATAGCGCACTCACCGATCTTGATAAAAACAAGCACCTGATGTTAAAAGTATTGATAAACATAAGTAGCTCGATAAATGCATGACGATGACGTGTCCCAGCATTTTACCATGAATGTCGCGTTATATATGCAACCGTTCTCCTCATCGCGCAGTTTCACAATTTATTCTTTGCGACACAGAGTATGACGTAAATTGACTTGTTCTCGTGAGGAAAAAGATGATAATTCATAATGATTCACGTGTACATCTCCATAACAAACGGAACTTTACTATTTCTAAATTACTTGCCAATTTGCTTAAGTAAAAATAACTTATTCCGCAATTCATGTTTCGCGGTTAATTCATAATTCCTTGTCTGATTAGAATTATAATGAGACAGAAACCCATGTCTCTCCTACGTGCGTCGCAAGATAGCCGACAATTTCCTGATGAAACAATATTTAACGCCTTGGATTTTATTTAAACAGCACTGTCGTACTTTTATAAAAATTAATGCAAAATTTTTAGCTTATAAGTCAGTCTTTAAGGTAGTTCGATGATGAACAACTTTTGCCAAAAGTAATAGGTTTTATTTTTTATATCGAAAAAAGGAACTTTCCTGAATCGATTAAGCCCAGAAAAAAAATAATTCACCGTCCCGTTCTCAAGATATTTAATTTTAAAATTAGGTGATTTTAATGATTTTAACATTGGTCTAATAGGAAAAGAAGTTATTTTCCTATGAATAACACGAGTTTGCGAAAAATCTTTTGCCAAAAATGTCTGAACAATATATATCGATGGAAAGAGGACACTGCAATGTGAGGAAGCCTATAGTTGAAGGTGAACACGATCCACCGTACAGTTTTTTTTTAATTAATAATTAAAGTTGAAAACTAGTCAAGCGACGCGTTAACACACTTTATTTAATCTATTTCAGGCAAAATATTATTCTACAACGTAAAAATTATTTACTAATGGTCTTTTTACGTCGTTACAAAGCTTTGCGATGCGTTATTCTATTTTTTTATAATCATAAAAATAAAAAAAATTATAAACATTGTTTTGACTTCGGCCCTTCATCATCGAACTACCTTAAGGCAATGCCGTATTTATTTTTTCAAAAAAAAAATGCAATTTTTACGCGCGTTTGTAAAAATATATTTAATCGAGAAGTAGCAATTCAAACAACGATTTCAGTTCTTTTACATTCGAGTTTAAAACGTTCGAGCTAGACGAGAGACTGTGTATCGCGCTTGGCGCTTTAATCGAAAAGTAATCGCCATCCACGCGAGTGTGATTATATCGTTAATACATTCAGAAGCCGAGCGGAAAGGCACGCATTCTTAAGAACGCGAGGTAACAATAGGCACGTGCTCTTTTACGATGTACCTCGTTAAAGCAATTATACCAATTGGATGAAGCCTACGGAGGTAAGAGCCGCGTCGCGCGCGCTCGCGCGAAAGGTAAGAATTCTCCTATCGTTCGAGAATATAAAAAAATTTCGTAAAAGTCGCTCGTTTATCGGTTTAAAAAAATTAGCGCGCATAACACACTTAAACGAACGCGGCACGCATATGTTAAATATATAAGTAAGGTATAAATAAAAAATACTTGAATTGACGTGATATACATATATATCCGTATCTATACAGACGAAATCTTCACAAACGAACGTTCGTCGGCAATAGTTCTGATAAACAAACGCGACCGCAATTAGAGTTCCGTAACTTTACGCGATAGATATGAAGCAATTAGACAAAATGCGACGTTAACGAGCACGCATGACTAATGTAACGCTGGTATCCTCCAGCTCCATGCGTTGCTACTTTGAATGCGTGGCACAGGTGTCGTTATCTTTTATTTCCACGATGATAATGGCTATAGTGCGTCGTATAGTACCTTTGTGGAATCTTCCTAGAAAACGCCGTCGGGGATTCAACGCGCGACTGCACTCGATATCCCGCGACGCGTATGGCTCGGATGATGGCTCGTGTGTAAAGTATACATAATAATATCCGACGGGTTTATAACAGAAACAAAAAAAAAATGAACTGAATATCGCTCATTCCCTCGCGCTTGCGGTGGAGCAGGTAAGAACCATTTCTCAACGCGAGAATATATCTCGTGACTGAGAGATATAGGGTATCACCGGAACACGCAATACGAGCGTGACCGTTATTTTTTAAACGAGTTTAGGTCCTGGCGTTTAACAATTTAAATAAGGTTGTATTTTATTTAAAATCTTTGTTTAAAAAAATTTTATTAAAATAAAGAATTGATATTAATGGGCAACGATGAGATTTTGGAATAAATTCCTTTCCGGAAAGATATATATATATATATATATTTTTTTTTTGGAATACACATAATTCTCCATAAATATTGTAATTTCTCTTTTTGTCAGTCTGTCTCTCTTTTTCTACATAATTTGAAATGTTAACAAATGTATTTTGTTACAAAAATTTAAAGAAATTTATCAATAGACAACAGCGAGATTTTGGAATTAATTCCCTTCCAGAATGAGCATTATAATTTTTTTATTGTCAGTCTGTTTCTCAACCTCCGCATGGTTTAGAATGCGTTATTAAGATAAAAAATTGATTAATAGACAGCGGCGAGACTCGAAAGTAAATTTCCAGAAAGAGATATATTCTGGACTATAATTCTCTCTCGATGAAAGGCATGGTAATTCCTTTTATTGCCAGTCTGTCTTTCTCTCTCTTTCCTTCTCTCTCAAATTTACTCCGCTTCGTTTGAAATGCATTACTAAAATAAAAAATTGATTAATAGACAGCGGCGAGACTCTAAGATAAATTTCCGGAAAGAGATATATTCTGGGCTATAATTCTCGATGAAAAACACAATGATTCTTTCATTAATTTACTCTCCACTTGGAATGTGTTGTTGTCGCCGGTTACGCATAACGTAACTTCCCATTCGGCAGTCCGTCGCGACAAAATTTTAACATATGCATGCGACACACGTGTGCTTTAATATGTCATACGTTTCCTTTACCCAGTGTGATATCACACCTGCGTATAAAGAATACTCATTCTCATTATGCACGAGCCGCGGGACGTCGCAAATCAATTTTTTCCCAACTCTTTGTAAACTCGCATTAATTTCACTCCGTCCTCGTGGCTATTCGACATTCATTTTACATTCCCATTAATACACCTTTCTCACGTTCAGCTTCAACGTTTTGCTCTCTCTCTCTCCGTCTCGTCTTTCAGCACGAATCGCGTTTTGCTTTTCATCAAGGGATCGGATGCATATCGCTAAACGTGATACGTTATACGAGTGCAACGCAAGTAAAACTCAGTTCGGTAAGAGGCGACAGCAGCAGCATTTTAGCGGTAAACGCGACCCTGAATGCATCGGCCAGATAGAAGCGAAAGTGAAAGTAGGTATCACGAGCTTTTGACGGAGCGAGACCGTTCGGTGACCGATCGCGGTGGAAACGTATCGAGATCGACGCGCGTCGCCGAACGTCGACGATCGCGTCCCGGAATCCCGAAAGAATCTCACGACGGACCGGCGGGCGTCGTAACTCGCGCCATAAAAAAGGCGAAATTCGACGATCATCCTCGACGTCCAGGACGTCCTTCGAGCGTTCTCGCGCGCGCGCGCGCGCGCGCGCGATAAGTACGCTAATTCGAAGCCGCGGGACCGTGAAATTCGATAGGAACAGGAACCGACAGCGATATCGACTTACCCGAACGAATCGCGGCCGATCGAAGCCGCCATCGTCGACGACGTCCCCTGCCACGATCGGTACGTTCATTGTAGTCGTCGTAGCATCACATATCGCCGCTGGGTCGATCAAACGCCGATCACCGTCTCACCGCGCCGGGAGCACTGGATTCACGTCGCGCGACTGGAGCACTGGAGCATCGTTAGTACGTAAACAGTGTAAACACTCGTGTTCGGGCGACGACGCCGAAACGTAGTGGAAAGCTTGCCGATCCGATCTACAAACACGATCGCGGAGGGTGTCCCGGGTTCCCCTTTTTCGAATGGCGAAACCGTCGTTAACCGTCAGCGTGACCGCGCGTGACTCCTCCGCTTCTGACGGCGTTGCTCTCCGGACGGGGGTCCGCGCGCGACTCTCGATTTCGTCGGTCGACGCGCTAAACCGGGAGCCACCGAGACCGACCGACCGCTATTACGGGGAGATCGATCGACGCGATCGCGTAGACAACTGGGACCGCGCACGCCGCACGGCCGCCGCTGATCCGACTCGCTCTCGACGGTCTCGACTCCGCGGAGCACGGTGAGCGATCGAACGATTGATTGCCGTATGCCGATCGTTCCGGGGGAGTCGGAGTTACGCGTACGCGACGAGGGTACACACGCGACGGTCACGTACCACGCGAACGCTCGTGTCGGACTGTCGCTCGGATTGTTCCTCGGAACGCTGCAAGTCTCTGCAACGCGCGCGAAGGTACTACACCCGCGCGCGCGCGAGTATACAAACCACACGCGCACACACATTTGTAATATACGTACAGTACAGCCTGGCGAGCACGCGGGGGCCCGTTGTAGCTCCCTGGGCCCTGGGGCACGGTACACCTTGGTAACTTTGATGGGGGATCGGCTAT